CCGCTACCTATAATCCTCTTGATTTGTGGTTTAGTGAATAGCCAACTTAGGCCAAAAGCCTATGTTGGGGGTGTGGTGAAAGGGAAGAGGAGAAGTCAAGAAGTGCAAGAAAAGTCCCCCTTAACCCATGGTGTTGCAGAACGATGGAGACAAAAAAAAACTGTGGAATAAAGTACAAAATAAATTGGGTTTCCAAGCAATCAATGGAGGTGAATAAAAAGATGACTTAGAAGCACTAGAAAAAGATTGATAAAGGAAAAGAAGGGAATTCCTTGAGAGTACCACATTTGACGAGGAAGAAGTCACTGAGCCTAAATGATCATACCTTTGCACTCATCCCCATTACAAGCCTTAGAAAGACCTTTTTGATCTTGAATAAGCCGAACCGAAGGTTGATTGGAAAATAAGGGCAAACCTATGGGTGAAAACATGCATTGTGTTCCTCTTTTTGAGTGTGAGCATTGCATCTGATTCCTGGTCTTGAATTGATTAACCTCTGGGTGTAAATATGGAATCATCTTTTATGTGCGAGCATTCCGATACTTTTTGTTGAGCTTGAACTTGCGTAAGTAGCAAGTATTGCGAGCGTGAGAATCTTTGGTAATGGTGTGTCACAACTTGAATCTTTGAGTACACAATTGATCCTTGCATAAGTAAATTGAGTCTTGTTGTGTGCATTCATGATTGAGTCTTGTGTAGCACTGTTTGAGACACCCTTTTTGAATGGCTGAACTTAAGTTTGCTTGAGGACAAGCAAAAGTTTAAGTTGGGGATGTTGATGAGTCCACAATTGGACTCATTTAGGGCTTTATTTTGATAGAAATAGTGTCCTCAAATGCTTATTTTGTTTCAATATCTAATGAAAACTCTTAAATTTCAGGTATTCGAACTTTTGGTGGAAAGCATGGAGACATAGGCGCAAAAAGGAACCAAAAGGCTGAAAAGAAAGAAGAAGCTGAAGCCTGCGTATCGCTAAGCACACTTGGCGACTCACCGAAGGGACGCAGTCCGCCCTTTGTTCCAGTACGCGAAGCCTTGAAGGAGAAGGATTAAAAAGGCGATGAAAGGAGCAGTCGGCGCTTTGACGAATAGTTCCGCGAAGCAGTACTATACCGCCTAATGATACAGAGCACAACAACACTGAAGGCTAGTGCAAGATGGCGACGAACTACACCAAAGGGAGAATCATCAAATTAATCGGCGATTCCGACTAACCTCGCCGAAAGATCTGCCGGCACTATTTTCTGAAGTCTATAAATACTAAACTTGTTATTAATTTTTAAGGAGTCTAACATTAATTTTAATTTTCAGAATAGAATAGTACTTTTTGGATATTTTCTCTCAAGTTTGGAGAGGGTTTTGGGAAACTTGAAGAAAGAAGGATTTCATCTTCCCCAAGTTGGAAGTGGGTCTTCTCCATTCTTCTTCCTTTGCTTAAATCAAGGATTAATTCTTATACCCATTTGATTTTAGTACCATTTTAGGTATATTTTGTTATTTCTTGATGTGTGGCTAAAAACCCCAATTCTTGGGGTGTGATTTAGAAAGTATGTGTTGATATTGTTGTTGGGTCTTGCTTGCTGATAGGTTAGATGTATTTTAATGGTTATTTCACATAGTGGTTGTGGTTTAATTTAATGATTTGTAGTTGCAAATATAAAATCACCTATGTGTTTTCGGCTTGCCCGAGAGGGAGGTCGTGAAACCAAGACCGCTAGACTGATGGCCTAAGGAGTGGATCGACATGAGGTCCAGCCCGAGATGGTGAGCCCTAGTCCCATATCCTAACACCCAGCTCGAGAGAGTGAATGGGGTAAGGCGTAGGCTGGCCTTCATGCGGCAAATGGGTGTCCGAGAGGAACGCATTTGAAACGGGGTAAGTTGCCCGAGAGGGAACTTATTTCCATCTAAAGCTTAGTCTAGTCACTATTATCTTGCCAATTTCCTATCGAAAGCATGTACCCAACGATTTATCTCAACTTGTATTGCGGTCATACCCCAAGAACTCTTCCCCATACTTGATTTTATTGCTATTTTCGTTGTTTATACTACTTGTGACAAAACCCCTAAATCGATATTTGACACTTTTGTGTCACCCCCTTTGATTTATTATGTTTTTAATCATTAATATCTTTAGCTACGACTAGTTAGAACTAAATTTTATTTTTCTATCAATTCTCAAAACCACTCCCTTGGGGACACGACCCCTAACCTTTAGTTGGGTTACTATATTATCGACGATCGTAGACACTCGTACCGTAGGTTAGTGTCGTTGATCACGATAAGTATCATCTTAGCAGAAGTAGGCGTTGCAGCTTAAGTAGTTGTTTCTCAATTGCATTTTTTTTCCAGATTTCAATTCATTTTTTTCTGGATTTCGATATGATAAGAAGATCATAAATTAAACATGTACTAGAATTCATCTTTTTGTATTTGATTGAAAAATATAATATACTTGGTCCATAGTTGAAGATAAGCCTCTGTCTCATCATTTAAACTAGAAGCAGCCTTTGCAATCAAGATTCTCCTTCCATAACAATCTTGCTTTCCACCATCTCCTCAATCTCTGTCATAGCTCTCGAACGATTCAGTTCCTCCTCTGCTCCTTCAATTTTCAACTCTGAATCTTCTTCAAACAGTTTCTCCCAAAACTCACGATTCTTAGCATTTTGAGCAGTTGCTTCTTCTTTTTGGTTTTTTCAATGGAAGTTACGGAGCCACCAGTAGAGTTTGATGTCTGTCCAATCCCATCCTGGATTGAGCCAACCACACGATTTGGCGACTCCACTAATCGTGGCCTATTTCTAGTGTCATTGCTGCTAGAGTCTTTTCTCACTTCAAAATATTCCTAATTTCTTTTACTTTTCCGCAGCCTAGAAAATTAGGAAAGAAAGATCTCATGTTTTCTTGTCCATCTTTCAACTTCTCAAGTTCTACCCTCAGATTTATCTGATCATTCCTCAACTTCTCTAGCACCCCCTCCAGATAGTTCACCAGATCAACAAGAGGACTATGTGAACCTTGTTGTGGATTATTCTCCTTTCGATATTTTTCAGCTAGTGCTTTCTGAGAGTTATGTTCTCCTTGTCTAGACACTTAAGCCTGACAATGATATCAGGATCAGTAGAAGTAGGCATTGCAGCTTAAGTAGGTGTTTCTCAAGTGAAGTTTTTTCAGATTTCAATTCATTGCATCTTGAATCATTTTCTCTTGCTCATCTCTAGATTGTTTGACTGCCTAACACATTTCTTGAGTTCACCATCAGATGACTCACACAAACTTTCAGAGTCAAGTTATACTGTACAACTGCATTATTATTTTGTTGATTTGATGTTGGGTTTGTTCAAAATTTACTCATGTGAACTTTGTTTTGCATAGTATGGTTGTTTTCATTCTTAGACTTTTTTAAAGCTTAATTTTCTAAATACATGACCACTCATTGCGGTTAGTTGAGTCTGGATGTGTCTATTGTTGTTATTGATAATGAATTTCACTAATTATCACTCTTTTGCAGGAAAAATATCAAGAAATTTTACAAAACCAAAAACAAATTCAATCTGATGTTGATCAATGACAAGCATATTATCAATCAGCAGGAGGGAAAATAAAATAAGGATATATGATCTTGGAGCTCAATCAAAAGTATTTTATGGACCAAATCTTCGTGTCTCTTCTGGATCTGATGCTTCGGGCTCAGTACTATGTCAAAATGCTCAAACAACACCGACAGAAAATGTGGATGAGTTAGTGGTGCGAATGATTCCTTCGCTAACTAATCACTTGATTCCTATATTTGTAGAGCATGTACCTAGGTTGATTTCTCTAGCCTCATCTCAGCCAGACTCTCCTACCAACCATCCATCAACTATTGCACCTGTAATTCCTGCTCCAGCTGCAACAAATATCGATTAGGATCGTGCATCGGTTTCTAAGGAATGATTGTGGCTCTAATCTCTCTTAGTTAGTTTTGTTGGCTAGATTTTGTTGCAAATGCTTTCAGCTATATATTTTTCTTGAAATTTATCTTTGGAGCATTTTGAACTTGATACTATAATTTGCACTTAGCTATGTACTTTGGATGTTGTAGAATATTGATTTCTAGGAATTAAGTTAATTTGTGATTATATAATATGTGTTTGAAAATGTGTATTTAAAATATTACACAAATAAAAAAATATTGATGGATTTGTGACAAATTATTTTCGTCGCTAAAAGAATGGAGATGGAATTAGCGACAAATATTTGGTCGCCCAATATGATGAAACGACGAAATAATTTATAAAATAAGGGATAAAATTAAAATTACAACGACGGATTTTTTTGTCGCTAAAGAAAGGCGGAAATGTAACAAAAATAGGCGACGAAATTAGCGACAAAAAATTGATTGCCAATATGATGAGACGACGAAATAAGTTACAAAACCAGCGACATAAATTACAAAAATAGTGACAAATTTTATCATTGCTAAGCTTGCCAACGGATAACTTCCGTCGCAAATCCGTCGCTCAGTTCGTGAAATATTCAATTTTTTTGTCGCTAAGTGGTTTGCTACGCGCAATATAGCGATGAACAATATTTCATCGCAATTCCGTCGCTAAACCAAAATAGTGACGGAATATGCTATTTAGCGACGGATTTTGTTTGTCACTAAACACAGTTTTTTTTGTAGTGAGAACTTAATGACGCGAAGTCTTAATTTCTCCTTTTTCCCTAAGTGCCAAAAAAGGCGAGGAGCCGAGGATCACCACAGAAACCCTCAAAAGGCTTTTCTAGGCTTGGGAAGGAAGGAGAAATAGATTTCTAGCGCAAGGTTGAAGACAACTCGCAGATTCCAGGCCAAATTCCTCCATCTCATTGTCAGAAAGCCAGGATTGGAGTTATAATCCCTCTACAACTGCTTGGCGCCCAGGTAGGCTAGGTTTACTCAATTAAATAGTCATAAATTTATGCTCATTGCGTAATATAATTGATGTGCCGTGAGATCTTGGCACATTTGATGCTCAAAACTAAGGATTATTACGAGAATCGAGTGTATTTATGTGGATATGATGTGTTTGGTGATGTTTGTACAAGTAAAACATGTGGACGTGAAAGAGAGAAAAGAAAAGAAGAAAATGCAGGCTGGAACAAGCACCACAGAGCCTAAGATGGGCCGTGGTCTCTTTCACGGTCCGTCCTGAAACTCGTGAAGAAGGCCCAGTAAAGAGGTTTTGCAAAATGAATGTTTATTTGGACCAAGTAAGGACCACAGAAGGCCTCACAGACCGTGGTCCTCACAACGGTCCATGGTGGTGATCGTAAGGACCACGGAGGCCCTAACGGATCGTGATCCTCATGAAGGGCCGTGATGCTGCTTGTAGAGTTGAACCAGTGGGAAGACCTTGAGAAGCTGAAATGTGAGTTGGCCAAGTAAAGACAGTGGAGAATGTAACACTCCAGAAATGTGTAGACTTAACTAGAGCTAAAATGAATGGGGTAAGAGTCTAGAGAGAGGGGAAGGGACTAAATCACCTAACAAAACTGAAGGAAATCAATTGGTGTGATGGACCTTCTGGCGATGGGGAAGAACCATCGCCCAAAACATTTGGCGATCAGCCAAAAGGACCCTCCCTCGCCTAGTGGGCAGCCTCCCCTAGACCTAACTACTGTAATTTTAGGCGAGTTAGGTCGGGGCTCGCCAACCCACTTGGTGAATCGCCCAAAGACCCCTTCATCGCCCAAGTGAATGGCTCAATTATGGAGAAATTTGTAACTTTAGGCGAGCCAAGGTTCCATTAGGCGAGTCGCCTAGTGCCCTTGGCAACCTAAGAGGTGCATTAGGTGAGCTAAAACGGGACCTAGGCAGATTTTAAGTCCAAGTCTTAGGGTCTTTAGTTAGTCGTCCAAAATTGAACCCTCACTATTATATTCTTTTCCTAACAAGTATATAAGCCTTTTAGACTCAAATTTCCCCCAATTAAGTCACTTTTAAAGAATCTAAAAGAAAACCCAAGAACCTAATCTTCCTTACAATATTTCTCTCTATAAAACCCAAGGAAGAAGAAGAGTAGACTTGGAGCTAGGGTTTGAAAAATTCAAGGGTTCCTCCTCAAATTTTCTGGAGATTCATAATCAAGGTATGGTGGCTCTTCATCTATGGGTCTCTTTCACCCATAGAGTCCCTTCAAAATTTGATTTCAAAGCTTCTAATTTCCCTAAAACCTAGGGTTTCAATCTAAGTCATGGGTTCTCTTTCAAAACGTTTTCAATTATTTATTTATGGTTGATTATGATTGATTATGGTGGATTAGGGTTGAATTGATGAGTAATTGATGTTTTATGATCAAATTTCCCCAAGAACCCATAAATCCCCCATATTGATAAATTGTGAATTCATGATGTGGGTTGATTGATTAATAGAAGCATGTCAATTAATTATGTTTATGTTGATTGAGTTATTGAATCATTGTATTCCCCTATCTAATGTAGAAATTCTATATTTTTGGGTTGAGTTTGATTCATAGCCTTGAAGGGCAAATTATGAGGGTTTGTATATGTTGTTGAGAATTAGGTATGAGCTTATGATTCACTTAGATAGTGAAGATCCTATGACTATTTTGTAATTATGGTATTGTGACAAGATCATTCTCCCTTACTACCCTTACACATGACTATGTATGAAATGTCTATGAATATTATAATATTTTTTGTGTTGATAGAAAGGCTATTCTCGTGAACACACTATGAATATGATGTGAAAGGTTTACTCACATATTGATGATTCTAAGGTTGAAAGGACATTCTCACCTAATGAATCTATGAGCTATTATGATGTTATGTTGGTTTGAGTTCCTAGTGCATTCTTTCATAAACATGAAATTAAGTAAAGACTTAATATGAATTTTAAAGGCAATTATGCTTAGGACCGAGTGGATATGAACATGAGATGGAAACTTTTACGTTAGAAAATCCGGCTTCCCAAAATAAGTTATATCATGAGATGGAAACCTTTTACGTTAGAAATTCCAAGTTTCTAGTAGCAATCTCCATATCCCATAACTATGTGCCCACATAGGTCTTTATCTAGTGGATCCACCTAAAAGCTAATATGTTAGTTCTACCTTAGGCAAGTAGGACACCTCTTTTCGGTGTGGGAGTAAGACACTGGATTCCATGTAGCTCATATGGTCTATATCGGTTAAGGTCATATTTCCCTATATGATAAGAGTATGAATTATGACAAGAATATGAAATGAAGTATAACTATGACTTCTTAAGAGCTACTACTTAGTTTGAGTGGGGGTATGGGACTCCATTTATGCATTGCACAAGTAGGCTTTAAAAGTGGTTATGGTGAGGTCCTCTCATGCTATGAAGACTTATGAATTATGCATGTATGGTATGAATTATTGTTAAGTATGATTGTTTTATGAATGTTGGCAAATGATGAGGTTAAGGTATGGTATGCATGATGTTGGTGACCTAAAGGTGGTACTTAGTACTAGGTAGGATTATGGGGATCTTACCTATGCATTGCACAAGTATAGTCTTGGGTTGCTTATGATATGGTGTGACTTGTGTTTCTTCACAAATGTGCATGATGGCTTTTAAACTTTATAAATGCATGGTTTGAACTAAATGTCCCTTTTATGCATGCTTCAAGGATTTTTATGCATGGCTTCCATACTTAGTACAATTTTGTGCTAACCCATATTTTCAACCTTTTCCATAAAGTGTAGGTCCGAGTGGTTGAAGTTGCTTATCTTTGGTTGAAGTCTTGAATTGATTCTCTCCTTCCCTTGGTGAGTCCTCATGGTTCAAGGACAAGAGTCATTCTTTCTAGTTTCCTTTCGTATAGTTCTACTTTGAGACTTTATTGCAAAGGGTTGTGACCTTATTGATTCGATTATATTAGATGGTTAATGAGATAAGGTCAAGACTCCTATTTCGATTTAAATGAAAAGACATTGATTGTAAAAAGTTTTAATTCCGCATAATTTCTATTACTTATGTATATGATTATGCTAAGGGCTTGTATGAGACCTTTTCGGGGTCAAGTACGCCGTGTTACGTCTAGGGGGTACCTTTGGATTGTGACAAACTTGGTTTCAGAGCACAAGGTTTAGAATGATTCTAGGATGATGTCTTATGAACCACGTCTAGTAGAGTCTTGTTCATGAGTTTAAAACGCGCCACACGTATGAATGAGAGGCTATAACATGTCTAGGAAATTTTACTTCTTTTATTGCTCTTTAGTCATACCTTAGAGTTTTAACTCTATGAAGTCCTTTTCCTAACCCTTATATTGTGTCTATAGGATATGAATAGAAGAAGGGCTAACGCAAGAAGGATGAAAGAGGAGATTGTGAATGAGGGAGTTCCTCCCCAAGGTCTCCAAGATTCTCAAGTTCCTCAAGCTCCTATTGATGCGGGGGCTATGACAAATGTGGAAATAAGGACGGCTCTCCAAGTATTGACCCAAGCCGTGATGGCCCAAGTCAATAGGGATACTAGGACCTATGTGAACCCCAATGTAAGCACAACCTCTTCAAGGATAAGGAATTTCACAAGAATGAATCCTCCTATGTTCTTTGGCTCAAAAGTGGAAGAAGACCCTCAAGGGTTTATCGATGAGATCTTTAAGATGCTTGATGCTGTGGGAGTGTCTCCACAAGAGAAGGCGGAACTATCCGCCTACAAAATTAAGGATATGGCTCAAGTTTGGTATGAGCAATGGAAGGGTGAGAGACCCGTAGGAGCAGGTCCGATAGATTGGGAATTGTTCAAGTCGGTCTTCCTTGATAGGTTCTTTCCTCTAGAGTTGAGGGAACGAAAAATTCAAGAAATCATCAACCTTCTCCAAGGGGCTGTGAGTGTGAAATAATATGGCCTTAAGTTCACCCAATTGTCTAAATATGCCCCAACCTTGGTGG